CTACTAACTTACCCATCAAAGATATAAAAATGACTTTACCCGATGCAAACGTGCCTAAAAAGCATAAAACTAAAAAATCCAAGAAAGTCGCACCCGATCAGTCTAAATTAACCGCATCCTCTGTTCTTACAATCAATAATCTTTATCAAGAAAATCCAAACTTATTCTCCTTACCGGTTGAAAATTTTCTTGCCTTTCTGGAAAACTAATTCGGCAGTAATAACCCTCTACAAGAAGCACAGCAGTTCACTCAAAATGTTCGATCACTACTCGACGACATATTTAGAATATACCTTTCACTGGAAGATAGAACAATTAAGAATGGATTTAAAAGTATTTCTAAGAAAAGTAAATAGCAACTTAATTTTTTCAACTTTCGACAATTCAGAAATTGAAAGCACAACATCGCAATCTACAAATAATGATGAAGATTATCTAACCGACTGTTCTCTGACCTGTCAACGTTCTCAATGTTAAAAATATTTCACTTTCACGTTAGTGCAGTGGAACTGCGATGGGTTCTACCCTCGCTTAGAACGCTTATAGCAATTAATCAATAATATAAAAGCAGATATTATCTGCCTTCAAGAAACCAATTTCAAAGAAACACACAGACGTGAACTTAAAAATTTTGAAGGTTACCATTTCCTTCGACCTACGTTTACAAGAGCAAGTGGGGGAACATCTATCTTCGTGTCTAATGATTTATTTTCTATACAATATATCCTAACTACCAATTTGGAGGCCATAGCAATAACTGTCTGGTGTCCCGACCAAATAACCATATGCAGTACATATATTCCACCTAATTATAACTTAACAGAAACCGAGTTAGATGACTTAATTCGCCAACTTCCCAGTCCTTTTATACTAGTTGGAGACTTTAACGCCCATAATACTATGTGGGGCTCAAAGAAAACATTTGGTAGAGGAAAAGGCGTAGAGACCGTATTGAGTTGCAATAATACTTGTCTGATGAATAGTGGAGACAGTACATATTTTAACATCGCCTCAGGAACTTACTCTTCTATCGATATAAGCATATGTGTTTCTAAGTCTGCCGATTCACTCTCATGGTTTACTTTAGATAGCTTATATGATAGTAACCACTACCCGATAGTCATAACAAATAGCAATAAAAATGTTTGCACCATTACTAAATAGAATATCGCTAAAGCGGACTGGAATAATTTTCAAACTAGCGCTGAATATCATATTTTATTACTTCAACAATCTGAAGATATAGACGAGGCAATAACTCTCTTTAATAACTGCATTATTATGTCTGCAGAAAATCATGTAAAAGAAATAACAATATACCCCTTTAAAAAAGCAGTACCATGTTGGAATTCAGCATGTGAACTAACTGTACGTCAATGCAAAACGGCCCTTAACAGATATCGAAAAAGAAGAACTCAAGAAAACCTAATCTATTTCAAAAAGGTAAGAGCCAAAGCGAAATATGTCCTTAAAAAAAGCAAAAAAGGTTCCTGGCAAAATTTCGTCTCTACAATTACTAGTGATACTCCACCATCTCAAGTTTGGATAAAAATAAGACAAATGAAAGGTCATGAAGATCCTCCAAAAATTCCAGCAATAACAGTGAATGGAAAAGTTATAACAGATAACCAAACAATTGCTCAAATCATGGCTGAAAGTTTTGCATGGAAATTCAGGTCTGAAGTCGAACAGATTGAAAGTCCAAATGACCCGAATATACAAATTCCTCTTGTTCCACAAATTAGTACTAACCTTCTACACAATCTTCCTTTTACACAAGAAGAATTAACACTTGTACTATCCTCTTGTATGAACTTGTATTGTCTGCTGAACCAGACAATATCCCAATTATATTCATCAAAAATTGATCTCATTCCAGCCCCGCAACACTGCTGAATCTTTGTAACAAGATATGACATACTCAGCAATTACCCAAACTGTTTCGTGAATCAATTATCATACCAATAAAAAAATCTGATCTACCTTCAAACCTAACAAAATCATACAGACCTATCTCTCCAACCTGTTCATTATGTAAACTGTTTGAGAAAATGATTAATTCAAGATTAACATGGCTTCTCGAAAAATATGCAATAATTGACTCAGCGCAATCTGGTTTCAGACGTCACCGTTCAACCCTTGACAATTTAGTGCTATAACAAACGCAAATAGCTTCCGATATTTCAAACAAACAGGATCTAATCGCTACTGTCTTTGATATAGAAGGAGCTTTCGATACTATCTCACTCCAAACCATTCTTGAAAAGCTTCGTCAATACAAGATAACAGGAAATATTTACTCCTTTATAAAAAACTTTTTACAACAAATAACGTTCAAAGTGAAAACAAAAGGGGGAAATTTTGGCGACATTCGGGCAAAATAATGGAGTTCCACAAGGTTCAGTAGTCAGTACAACACCAGTCAAGCACTTAATATACGCAAATGACCTTATTTTATATTGTCAGGGAAAAAGTACAATCGCCACATGCAACGTGCTCCAAACCGCTGTAAATCAACTTAGCGAATGGTCCAAAAAAAAACGGATTAGCTCTTTCAACGACTAAATCGAAATTAGTACGGTTTAGCAGAAGACCCTGCAGACAATGTCCAATTATCACCCTTAATGGAACTCCATTGCAACTAGTTACTCATCACAAAATATTTGGTTCAACGTTTGACAGTAGGCTAACTTGGAAACAGCATATTAGTGTATTAAAGGGCAATGCAATGAAGAGACTCAATATCATCAAAGCACTATCAAAGTACACATGGGGTGCGGACGAAACCATCTTACTTAATATATATAGAGCTTTAATCCGCGCAAAACTGGACTACGGCAGCTTCATATACATGTCTGCATCAAAATCTGACTTAAAGCTACTGAACTCTGTGCATAACACTTCTATTCGTCTTCGCTTAGGCGCTTTCAAATCTAGTCCCATAGATAGCCTTTACTGCGAGGCTAATGAACCACCTTTCTGGATTCGACGAGAGTATCTTCTTCAATCTTACTTTGCTTCCGTATCCGCAAACCCATCCAATCCTGTCTACCATTTAATTACTTCAACATCGCCTCCGGAGACCCCGCAAAGGATCCAATCAATAATAGACATCCAGAAATTAACTTTAAGAAAAACCATCGACCTTACTAAAACACATCCCTTCCCAATCCCGGATACTCCGCCTTTTAATAGACCAATCCCACATTCAATTACTTCTCTATTAGAATACAGTAAACATGAAACGTCAAGCCTTCTCATAAGGCAACACTTCGAAGAAATCACAAGCAAGAACCAATTCCAAACAATTCTGTATATAGATGCCTCCAAAAGCGAAGCAGGCGTTGGATGTGCCGTTACCACACATGATGAAGTAATAAAATCATCTTTTTTACCGAATTTATGCAGCGTATACACTGGAGAACTTTATACGATACTAGATGCTTTTAAAAACCTAAAAACAGATGATAAAAACCAAGCAATGTGCACAGACTCCCTGTCATCACTACAATCAATAAAAAGTCTATACTCTCAGCATCCCTTAGTTCAATAAATCCATAGGACTTACAGTGCACTCGCTTTTCAAGGTGTAGATGTCACGATCATCTGGCTACCATCCCATGTCGGCATCCCCGGTAATGAAAAAGCAGTCCAAGCAGCCAAGCAAGCTTCTTGTGTAAACAGTCAATCCTCAAAATATTCAAATTCGTAATAACCTAAAGCACATTTTCAAGCAACAACAGTATCATACCTGGCAAACCCACTGGAACACAATCAAAAGTGAGATCCGGCAGAATGTTGAAAAATTTGAACTTCCAAAAATGTCTAGAAACGAAAAAGCTGTCATCCGAAGATTAAGAATAGGACATACCCGATTCACACATGAATATTTAATGAAATCTGAGACGAAGACTATTGCCAAATCTGCTCAAGTGTATTAACTGTAAAACATATCCTGATCGAGTGTCCCCGGTACGCAAAACACAGAGTGCAACATAAACTTACGTCAAATATCAAAGACGTTTTAAACTCGCTGGTTCAAATGTTTAACCTAATTGGTTTCTTGAAAGACATTCAGTTGTTCAACAGAATATGACCCCTCGTTTTCCATGTACTTTACCTTTAACTTATACTTTAGTGATTAAACTGTGGTATTATTTAGTCATAGGTTCTAAGTTTATAGATTAACTGTAGCAATTAGTAACATGTGTTTATTGTAATTATTGTACATGTAAATATTGTTTGTGTCAATGGCCATTGCAGCCGAGACACATTAATTTAAATAAAAAAAAATTTTGTCGATTAAAAGAAATATTTTTCATTTTTTTATTAACTATTTTGATAAATAAAACATCAAGCTATCAAATATACTTTAAATTATTTTCTCTATCATTTCGTTTCCTTAATATTTACGTCCAAAGTCAAATATTCCTTAACTGGGTCGTTATTAGGTTGGTTTACCTTACTACAAATTAGATGATCAATTTGGATGGTGTAATGATTGCGAAAAGTAATAGTTTTAAGTATCTAGGATCGGTATTACACAGTAATGAAAGAGACGAGTTGTGTATTACGTGATAGAAAAATTCTAATCAAATAAAGAAAGAATAATCAATGCGTGTTACAGAAATGAGAACGCTTATATGGCTGGGTGAGGTAGGTGGAGTGCCAAAAATGAAGAAAATTAACAATGAATTGATTAAGTGAAGTGTAGGTGTGGCACACATTAATGCAAAAATTAAAGATCTTATGTTATGAGTTTTACAACTCGCTCAACGCAGAAATGAACTGCGTAAACCATGACGTAATATCGTTTAGTTGTTTCTGGAAGAAGTAGGACTAAAAGAAATAGGACAGATCAAATAATTGAATCGCAAACGCTATTTGGCAAGGAGAATTGATAATATTTGTATGACTATGGAAAACAATTTAATGAAGTAAACCAATCCTGAATGATGACAATAAAAATAAAAGTCGGAAAAAAAACGAACATTACTCACGTCTTTAATTGCCTTCAACAAATTATCTTCACTTAACAGTCGAATTCTATTTAGATCCATATTTTTATTACCAGTTTTTTACCACTACGGAATATATCTTTCGCTTTGCTTTTCTCTCATTAACTATAAAACTACTTTTTGTTATGTTTTATGATGCATTTAAAAATTACCGTTTATACAAAAAGATGTACCACGAAGTTTAAAATATTTGACTCTGTTATCTGCTAGAGGAAACCACAAGCTGGAATTCCACTGAAAAGATATGATAAAAGCATTACGTCTCTAAAGTGATTTATACAGTAGTTATTAATTTAATTTTCATTATTTTTATTTATAAAAATAATGTACATCAATTATGTTGGACTCTAACTGACAAACATATTAATATAATTAAAAAAAAAACAAATTGTGAATGTAAACAAGAATATAAATATTTGGGGTCAACATATCATTAATAAAATGATATTTTGTTGCACACAAAAGTCGAGAACTAACATTTTTCTGGAAGTCGCACCTTATAGACTATGGAAATATTTATCTATAGATCAAGAGGCAGAATCGTTTGACAAAATGTCCAAACCCCATTGCGGATTTTGTAGATTTTAAAAGGTGTATTTTGGCAGCATAGACCTTTCCCTACTGTGTGTCATGTGAAAGATCCTTCATGTATACAATACATGGATATTTTTATTACAAAAATCTATAATATATAAGAGACCCTATTTTGGGAGATAAGTTTGTTATCTGATAAGGTTTTAAATATATATGCTGCTGACGAATAATTACCCTCCAGTTACAAACAAGAGACTAAGTCGTTTCTTCTACATTTTCACATAATCTCCATGTTTATTTATCGACTTTGCTTATTTTTGTAGAGGTTACATGAGTAAGTGGTGTCCAGTAAGAATACCAGAAGATTACTGTCAACAAATAAATTTTATAACCTAGGACAACAAGAAGCAATAAATGATTGATTGATTGAAAAAATATATCAATATGTGACGGAAATCAAAAACATAATAGGCCAGGAAAATAAGCAAAAACAGTGCCCTGTTTGTGACACTGAACCGGACAGACAAACAACAGTTATTTTGAATACTATAGACCTGTGTAACAACCCTATATGTTTCCTACAGTCGATTTTTGGACATGATTAGTTATTAACAAATTAAGGTCAAAAAACGGTAAATTTTTACTTTTTTGTCTATCAGCAAAAAGTGGAGCAATTAAAACAAATTTACGAATAATAAACTTATACGTTATACAGGGTGGTCCTTAAGTAATTGTACAAAAAACCGTAGATTCTACACGTTAAAATATTACGATTTAAGCTAAATTGCTTTAATAAAATGTTAATATTAAGAAAGATACAGGGTGTTCAAGCGAAAATTTAAAATTTTAATTTTCGCTATACCTAACTTTCATGTTTGTAAACATTTATGTATAAAAATTCATAACTGGATACTATTTTTTTTTAATAAATTTGCAAATTTACAATCTGCTATTACAAGCTATTAGTAAATGTGATTATTGCAAATACATGAGAGGAGAAATTATCCATTGATAACACTCCCAATACTAACACTAACAAATTAAATTAATGTGTGATTATAATTTAAAACTGAAATTGAAATGAAAAGTAAAATTAAAATTGAAATTAGTGTATAAAGTCTGTTGGCCACTGTCTCTTCAATCTTCGTCTGACTTCTGGTTGGAGGTGTAGTTGTCTTGCTTCCTCGTTGGGGTGGGTTGGCAGATGTTCTAAATAATTTTTTGTTAGTCTGCTGATTTCGTCTTCAACGAACGGTATACCAGAGTCATCATGCAGAGTTTTGTTACTAACGTACCACGGCGCGTTGAAAATCATTCTGAGTATTTTGGATTGGATTCTCTGAATGATTTTGGTATAAGAAGGCTTTGCACAGCCCCATAGTTGCACTCCATATGTCCATATAGGCTTTATTATGCACTTATACAATAGAAGTTTATTATCTCTTGATAACTGTGATTTTCGGCCTATTAGCCAATTCATTTGACGTATTTTCATGTTGATTTGGATCTTTTTGGCCAATATGTGTGCTTTCCAAGTGAGTTTTTGATCAAGTGTCATTCCCAGGTATTTGACTTCTGTTTTTACTGGTAGTAGGATATTGTTTAGTTTGATTCTCGGACATATGATGTTCCTATTGGTGAATGTAATTTGATTAGACTTATTATGGTTAACTTTGATTTTCCATCTATTCATCCAGTCTTGTACTAGGTTCAGGTGTATTTGAAGGTTTCCTGATGCTACTTGGGGGTCATCATCGATGGATATTATGGCGGTGTCATCTGCGAACATGGCTACTGTGGTCGTATTTGTTGTTGGAATATCGGCAGTGTATATGAGGTACAGGAGGGGACCCAGGACACTTCCTTGAGGGACACCGGATTTTATGGGATAGTAATGAGAGGTTTCTGTAAGGAATTTGACTTGAAAGTAACGTTCTGTGAGGTATGATTTTAAAAGAAGATAGTGAGGGGTGGGAAAGGATGACTTAAGTTTATATAGGAGGCCGTCATGCCAAACACGGTCGAAGGCTTGTTCTATATCCAGGAAGGCAGCAGTGCAAACTTTTTTCTCTTCGAGGCATACATTAATGTTTTTACAATCCTATGGCACTGTTGTAGAGTTGAATGGGCTTCGCGGAAACCAAACTGGTGGTTTGGAATCAATGAATTAATTTCGATGTCTTCTGAGATTCTTTGGAGCAGAAGTCTTTCAAAGATTTTTGACATTATTGGAAGTAAGCTGATTGGTCTATATGAAGTAATAGTATTTGGTGGTTTATTTGGTTTACTTATCATAATTATTTGTGCAAACTTCCAATTAATCGGGTAGTAGGCTAATCTTATGATGCTATTATATATCATTGTTAGTAGGACAATTGCTTTTCTCGGTAATTTTTTTAATATTAGCCCGGTGATCATGTCGAAGCCTGGTGCTTTGTAGTTATTGCATCTAGAAATTTGTTCTTTTACATTATTAGGAGTAAAGAATTTGATTGGTAGCATCATTGGGCATGGAGTGTCTAAAAAGTTTTTAACTTGTTCTTCGTCATTATGGTTATTAAGTTCAGGTGCGCCAAAAACGTGTGAGAGATGTGCAGCAAAGATTGATGCCTTTTCTTGTTCAGTTTTTCCCCAGCTTCCATCGTATTTCCTTAGAGGTGGTATGTGCTGTGTAGGCCTCTTGAATGATTTCGTTGCTTTCCAGATGCTGTGGTCTTCTTTTGACAGGCTGTCGATGAATAGTTCAAATGTATCATTCCTCGCGTCTTGTAGAGCAGTTTTAAGTTGCCGTGTTAATCTATTGTATTCATTTTTGTCTATAGGATTGCGACTTCTTTGCCAAATGTGCCTGGCTCTTCTTTTTTGTGCTACAAGACGTTTTATATATACGGTTGTAATTTGATGCATACTTTATTGTAGCTGATAGAAGGCGCCTCATATGCCAAATATGTGGCATACATTTGCACTTAACTTTTTTACGCTTTACCGATGTTTGTGATAAAAAATATTAAAGATACATTATTTTAACAAAAAAAAAAAAGGTAGGTATACTTGTTAATAACTTCAAAACTCAACAGTTTTCGAGATAATCGCATTTTACAAATCAACTACATAATTCAGATTTAACACAATTATTCCAGGCAACGAAATAAAATAAAACAAAAACATCAACTCTTCTGAATTTTTGTATAAAATGTCTTTAATAAAGTTAATAATTAACGAAATAATAAATAAATATATCAGCATATCAGCTATATATAATATCAGCAGGATAGTTAATAGTAGGATTTGACAAAATAACGGAATAATAGGATTTTATATCAAACATTTTACGTTTTGTAGTAAATTAAAGTCATAATCAAAATATTCTATTTAAAAACCAAATTAAGAAATAGTTAAAGTAAATAACATTAAACTTTTTGTCAAAGGAAGCTCTTTAATTCATTTGTCAATACATTCCATAAAAGAACGTCTCATATTAAATAGCATCATTGGTTCTAAAGAAACTGTTTTAGTATTTATTATAAGTATTATAAATATTGTAAGTATTATAAGTATTATAAGTATTATAAGTATTATAAGTATTATAAGTATTATAAGTATTATAAGTATTATAAGTATTATAAGTATTATAAGTATTATAAGTATTTATTATAAGTATTATAAGTATTATAAGTATTATAAGTATTATAAGTATTATAAGTATTATAAGTATTATAAGTATTATAAGTATTATAAGTATTATAAGTATTATAAGTATTATAAGTATTATAAGTATTATAAGTATTATAAGTATTATAAGTATTATAAGTATTATAAGTATTATAAGTATTATAAGTATTATAAGTATTATAAGTATTATAAGTGTTATAAGTATTATAAGTATTATAAGTATTATAAGTATTATAAGTATTATAAGTATTATAAGTATTATAAGTATTATAAATATTATAAGTATTATAAGTATTATAAGTATTATAAGTATTATAAATATTATAAGTATTATAAGTATTATAAGTATTATAAGTATTATAAGTATTATAAGTATTATAAGTATTATAAGTATTATAAGTATTATAAGTATTATAAGTATTATAAGTATTATAAGTATTATAAGTATTATAAGTATTATAAGTATTATAAGTATTATAAGTATTATAAGTATTATAAGTATTATAAGTATTATAAGTATTATAAGTATTATAAGTATTATAAGTATTATAAGTATTATAAGTATTATAAGTATTATAAGTATTATAAGTGTTATAAGTATTATAAGTATTATAAGTATTATAAGTATTATAAGTATTATAAGTATTATAAGTATTATAAGTATTATAAGTATTATAAATATTATAAGTATTATAAGTATTATAAGTATTATAAGTATTATAAATATTATAAGTATTATAAGTATTATAAGTATTATAAGTATTATAAGTATTATAAGTATTATAAGTATTATAAGTATTATAAGTATTATAAGTATTATAAGTATTATAAGTATTATAAGTATTATAAGTATTATAAGTATTATAAGTATTATAAGTATTATAAGTATTATAAGTATTATAAGTATAATAATAAGTATTCCTTTGGGATTTTTATGCATT